TTGGATTAAGTTGAGCCTACATGTGTATACGTAAGTCAAGTCTGGCTATACTATGTATTGTCAGGGCTAGCCTAATATTGTATTAGTTAGTACATGTAGATGTAACTGGGTGAAAGTTAGGCATTATGATTTTAATATGTCAAATGTATACATGTTTACTACCTACTTTCCTAACTTACCGTATATGGTTGGTAATTCATGAGGGTTCAATATTTGACTTTTTCTCCAAAATTCCTTAGAAGCTAATATTTGTGGGATACAAAATTCGTGGTTGGCACTTAGCAAACTTCTTTTCACTAGCAATAGCTTCCAATACATGGCTTATAGTGGAATATGGAGTAATAGACAAAGACTCTGGCTCCTCAACTGACTTGAAAATAGTAGTTTGAGCTCTGCATGCATGGCCCGACCAGGCCAGTTAATTAGTTTTTCATGTGTTGGTGGTAGGAGTTAAAATTTTGTGGATATAAATGAACCCTGAAATTAACGAAAATTAACACCTCACGAACCGTATGTATCATCATAGTTTTATTTTGTTGATAGAGCATTCAACACAGCCAATCATTGTTAATCCAGGTAAGGAGAGATAGCAAGAGAATAACATGCATGTATTGTTCTAGGTGTTCATGATCTTGAGCTCAAAGTTGATCAAGTATCTAAGCTACGAGACATTGCTAACGAATTGCAGGACAAGTTTGATTATCTCGTTCTTGCAGTGAAAAAGTCACTTGAAAATAATTCCATTGATATAGAAGATGCAAAAATGTTGATACATGGATGCTTAAAGAGAAAAGCTCGTGTTGTGTCTCAGCTGCTACCCTGCATTAATATTCTTAAGAAGGTTAACGATTTTAAAAGTTTTTTTGAGTTTCTAAGTGAATATGATTTTATTGGTTATCTCAATTACAAGCTATTGAAGAAATTATCTAAACTAGTTAAAGATGATAATGAGATTAACAGGTATTTTGTTGAATACGAAAAAGAATATGCCAAGTTATTGAGTGCAGCTGCCTTTCAAGAATTTATACCTTTCTTTGAAAAACAATCAGACCTGTCTCCTACTGCTCCTCTTGGCTTACCTTATGTTTCCTTTTGTGTTGAAAAACCTGATTCATTCACCAGTGCTCATGATTGCCTCTCAACCTTTGATGAGTTCTCATGGTCACAAGATATGTTTTTAAAACAATTACAAAAGAAATGCATTATCATCACTTATGCCATACTACCATATGTTCTTGATGATGTCATGAGAGATCTCAAGGATCCAGTGATATTGAAGAAGCTAGAGGACAATGATATTAGAGTAGTTGAATTACCACAAGAAGAAGGTAAGATGGTGCAGTATACAAAATTATTTACATTGTATATTTTTATTTTTTTACAGAAGATTTTGAGGGTAAGAAAGAAGGTATAATACTTTTACTACATCTATATTAGCTTTTATTAGTTTATATACAATTATTTTTTTATTTTTATATTTTCAGACCCACAGATTGAATCCACTGCCGCTAAAATAGAACCAGTACGTCAGTATAATAATTAATTTTCATTGATAAATTTTCTTTGAAAAGAAGGTTGATGCTTCTTCAATCATGCAGACCACATCATTGGAGGGAAAAATTTCCACCACAAGCACTACTACTTTGGTAGGTATAGCACATTTACAGCTACAGTAAATTATGCATACACATGTCTATCATACAATGTATAGT